ATTCTAAATTAACTGTCCTGACAGCCCAGTAACTCTTATGTTCAATCTCAACAGGTAAGTGACATGCTTTCCCAAAAACTAACCTATAAGGAGACATGCCTATTGGTGTTTTAAAGGCAGTCCTATAGGCCCATAAGGCCTCATCTAGCCTTAAACTCCAATCTTTTCTATCAGGTCTGACTATTTTCTCCAAAATTCTATTTAATTCTCTATTTGAAACTTCAGCCTGGCCATTTGTTTGTGGATGGTAAGCTGTGGAAATTTTCTGAGTTATGTGATATTTTGAAAACAGTTGGGTCAGGACTTTGTTGCAAAAATGAGTTCCCCTATCACTGATGAATGCCTTAGGCACTCCATACCGGTTAATAATCAGACTTTGAGCAAATTTAGCTACTGTTTTGGCATCATCAGTTTTAGTAGGAACTGCTTCAACCCACTTTGAAAGATAATCAACAAATAAGAGAATATAAGTGCTTCCAAAAGAATTGGGAAAAGGCCCCATAAAGTCCATACCCCAAACATCAAACAATTCACAAACAAAAATGCATTTCAGTGGCATTTGATCTTTTTGAGACAAGCTTCCAGTTTTTTGACATTGAGGGCAACATTTACAAAATTCAGCACTATCCTTACAGATTGTAGGCCAATAAAAATCACATTCAAGAATCTTATGGGCTGTTCTTTGAGGTCCTAGATGTCCCCCACCCTCTAAAGTGTGACAAAAATGCAAAATTGAATTTATCTCATAATCTCCTACACACTTTCTTACCACTTGATCAGAGCACATTTTCCACAGGTAGGGGTTATCCCAAATGTAAAACCGTGCTTGAGATTGAATTTTTTCTCTTAATGAACTAGGCATTCCAGGGGGAAAGGCTCCCGTGACTATGTAGTTAACAATATCAGAAAACCAAGGAACATGAGAAGCAAAGTATAAACTCTCATCTCGAAAGGTTCCAGTGAAAGGATCTAGATTTTCTTTATTGTTCTCTATCCTACTGAGGTGGTCAGCCACCTGATTCAACCTTCCTGCTCTATCTTTTATTTCATACTGAAACTCTTCCATCAACAAAATCCATCTAATCAATCTTTGCTTAGTGTGTTGCTTCTTTATTAAGTATTTCAAAGCTGAATGATCAGTGTAAATGGTTATCTTAACTCCTAACAGGTATATTCTATATTTCTCTAGAGCAAAGATTACAGCATACATTTCTTTCTCTGTTGTGGTATAATTTCTTTGGGCTGAGTCGAGTGTAGTGCTAGAATATGAAATCACATAAGATTGGTTCCCATATGTTTGCCCCAAAACAGCCCCAACTGCCCAGTCACTTGCATCACACATTAATTCAAAGGGGTAAGCCCAATTAGGTGGCTGCATTATGGGGGCTGAAGTGAGTTTTTCTTTTAAAAGATCAAAAGATTGTTTACATTTCTCATCAAAAACAAATGG